GTTAGAACACTTTCATTCCTTTCAAGAGGCAAAAAGCAGCCATTCTGGTTCTTTGATTATTGGTTTGATTTTATGCTTGGCAATACAATTGGATTCAATCATAGCTTTTGTCTCTAGAGATGTGTTTTGCTAAAGATTGCAGATCTACCATAATAAAGCTCCTGATCGTAAATGTCTTTCTATGCCTGAGATGGTTAAGATTTAGTTCTTGTGCCATACTTAAAGGCACTCTTCTTGTCCCTTCTCCTCTGCCCACCCCTGAAAATAACACAGTTTTCAACAGCCTTTAATTCAAGGCATTTCCCTCCTCTCTGGCTGCTGGATTTTAAGACAAAACTTCCAGAATGGAAGCTTCCTGTCCTAGAACCCATCCAGAGTAAAACTGACCTTCACTTATTTCTGGGCCATATTGAAAACTGGTCTAAGCTTAATCCTGAAATTCTTGAAGCCTGTGTATTTGGGCATTCTAATCAGATAAACTGTCAGCTTAGGGCTATTTTTGATTTCACAGGTGTTGAGAAGATTTTTATTCCTTTTAATTTTTATTACAAGAGATCTCAGTTAATTGATCTACAAAGTTCTGACTAGTCTTTTATAATTATAAACCTAAAAATTATAAAACTTATTATAATTCAACTTGGCCAAATACATCTGAGTGCACTCTGGTTTATATAACGTCTCGTGTGTGTGTGTGTGTGTGTGTGTGTGTGTGTGTGTGTGTTTGTCTGTCTGTCCAATTTGTTATAACACATACAGCTGTTTTATTTGCACTTTTTTTTCTTTTGGCATTTTGGATTTTTAAAGATGTTTGCCTGTAACTCAGGTTGGCTTATAGATAAATGTCACTAAAGACGTGCTTCCCCTAGATTGCCAGATGATCCAGTTATCAACTGGTAACGTCACTCACTAAAATTAGAGGTTAGACGTTATAAACTCCTAATGTACATTTGTAGGCCAATATATATGCTCTCCTTAGATGGCCTCCTACTAAAGGATGACAAATAAAAGTTCTTTATGTTATTTAATGTCTTGTGATCAGATGGAGGTGTTTGACTGAAAGACTATTTCATACTAAGATGAACATGTAAATGTTACAAAGAAAATGTTATGGTTATGACTAAAATATTATGTGTGGCTCTTGCTTTTAAGTGTCTGTTTTCTGTTAACATTCTACAAGGATTCAACTATTAAAACAACTGTGGCTGATAAGAAAAAACAGCCCATCTAATTGTGCTTTATACTTCAAAGTGCTTAATGTCCAGACATAATTATAATAGTTAAGCTACTAATGTCACTGATCTTGTCTTCTGGTGTCACGAACCAGCGACGCAGAGCACTGTCCCGCAGTGCCTCAAACCTGAAAGAGCAGCGGGGTGGAGATGGGGCAGAGAGAAAGGGAGGACGCTAAGACAAGAGTCTGATCAAGGCAACGTTTATTGCAGGCAGGCATCAGCCTTTTAAAGGAAAAGACCGAACTATTATGGGCTAGGATTACCATAGTAACCTCAATACCTGCTCCTGTAGATAACATCAGATCTTTAACATAACAAAATGGAGTTAACAACACCTGACTCCTACAGATCTTTGGCTGTCCGTGTTTCTCCCATGCAAGGTCAAAACAAGTTTAACATGTGCAGTCCTTAAAAAGGAACAAATGTTGTCTTTCAAAAAGCCAGTGGCTCATGGCTGGCTTCCCACATTCTGGGTGTTTAACAACTAAAGTTTGGAGACCAAAACTAGAAAGGTAACTGGGCTATGAAGACAGCCAATATTTTGGCTTTGGCCCCTCAAGAAAAAGGAACCTTTCCTACAGGATCCTACATCTTTTGGTAAGTCAGTTAACCACCTGAGCAGGGAGATTGCTGGGCACCAGAGGGTAAATACAGTGTGTGCCAAAGGAGGGTCAGAAAGAGGGAAAAGTATCCCATGCTTTCACTGAAAGCAACATGGTCAAGCAAGGCCGTGACCCATCCTGACATCTGGCACTGACAAAGGAGCAGAGAGGCTCTATGCATGGTTCCAAAATAATGCGTGAAGAGGCTTAAGTGACCTTGACAGATAGCAAGAAGTTCATGTTTATTGACACAGGTCTTACTTTAACTTATCTTAAACACCCAGCAGAAAAGAATAACCAAAAGAGATACAATGTCATAAGCTAGGTATAAAAAGGGGCTCCAGTCACTGACCCCTTCTGGCAGTGTTCAGCTCTACCAGTAGCTGACCATGGTTATGGATCATTAGCAAAAACAACAACAACAACAACAACAAAACCTATGGTAAAATCTATTTCTTAGTGAAATTTGTTGTTCAAATTTTCTTTTACAGCTAAAACTAGAGAGACTTGTGACAAAGCATGAGACTTACAGATAACTTTTATCAGTAAAATAAACTAAGACCACAGGTTCAATCACTATTTCAATTTCTAAGTGTGACTTTCTCCCTAACCTGCCCTTTCATTCTAGTGTGCTCATGCTTAGATTATGCATACTCTAACTTCTTAAAAGTTTTGTTTATTTTTGCCTAGAGCCTGCCAAACTCCAAGTGGTCATACAAATGGAACCATTGATAAATGTGCTAAACTTCTTTTATCGGGATCCACCAGATTGACCTTGTAAATAGCTCATAACTGCTAAACTATACAATATGACTTCTATGTTGGATTCTGAAGTCCCCTGAACCTTCTCCTTATCCTCTTTGTGGGCTATATTCAGAGCAGTTCTACTGACCTTATAATTCATAGCATTCTTAGCTGTTTCTTTGGCTTTGTCTCCTTCAGACTATGCGGCTACCAAGATGACAATGCCAGGTGCCTACCAAAGGCCTTTAGATAGATCCTCGTAGAGTAACTCTAATTGCTGATCATAACTATAACCCTCTTCAGCTGGAAGTAGTCAGAGCTGTCTTTGCCCTTTGCCCCCTCACAGCAGTTAGGGGTACTTCTTCTGAGGGGGGAATATTGCAGATAGATAGGTTAATTAGATATCTTGTAGGCTGTTGGACAGGACCACCCTCAAGGAGCCAACAGAGCAAGGAGCCAATGGAGGACAATGACGACACATTCACTTTGGCCCGAACTGTAAAAGGAAAGAAACTACTATACCCTTGTGCTTCCCCTAGGGACAAAGAGCAGTGATTGATATTCTAAATAGGTATCAATCACCTGGGTGGGGAGCCAACGTCTTAACCTAGCCTTTCCAGGAAGTATCCCTACCCCCACTCATACTGAAAATCCTTGTATGCTTGCTGTGTGACTTGCTCCCCCATTTGACCCCCACTTAATCAAAATTACCTGGGTGACTGTTTACTTGTAATCAATCTTATTGGTTGGCCATGGTTTTGCCCCACCTCATGCCCACCTTGTAATTTTCCATTGGGTCTTATAATTTTGTCCCACTTTGTACCCTCCTCCCCACTTTGCTGTATAAAACATCTTTGAGAAGAGGGCAACTCACTTTCTGGTCCCCCTTCTGTCTCTCTTAGAAGCTTTCTTTCCCTCAATAAATTTTTCCTACTCTTTAAATAAATAAATAAATTAATAAAATAAAATGTACAAGAACTAAATTAAATATATTAAATAGGATTGCTAGATACAAAAGAAAGAAAAAAGGACTGAAGGGAGATACAGCTCAGTGTGAAGGCCCTATGTTCAATACCTAGAACTTGGGAGTGGGGGGATCTAATTTATAGAATGTTCCAGAGTGCTTAGGTCCATACTATTTGCTCTTCCCAAGAAGGTACTTTATTTTGGTGAAAAAGTTTATTCAAAGTTAGCTCTGAAGGAGATGCCTCAAATCTCAAGGTAGAAGAGGAATACAGTAAGATAATAGCTAAGGAATTACCCCCTTTCATTCCAGGCCATTCTCACCTTTGGACTTGACCTCCTGGGGCCAGCATCTGCGTATTTTTTTAAAGAAAGGTGCTTTCAGACCAAGGTGTTACTTTCCTGTCCATTTTCCTGAGTGGAGGGAGTGGCTTCCATTTACCAAGATGAGGGGGTTTATGCTGTCAGTATGAGGAAGTTGAAGAAGCGTCTCTAAAAGGAAAATTGAAAAATCTTAGCTAAGTGTGGTGGCACAAGCTTATAATTTCACCACTCTGGGAGGCTGAGGCAGGAGAATCACAATTTTGATCCCATCCCAGGGAGCAGTGAGACTTAGACTCTGACTCAAAACAGAAAATAGAAAGTACTAGGAATTGGGCCAGGGATTTAGCTCAGTGGTGTTGCTGCCTGCCTCGTAAGCACAAGGTCCGGAGTTCGATCGCTGGAAGAAATTATTAGGAATGTAATTTGGTATAAATGTCCTGAATTCAGTACCCACTACTGGAGGAGGAAAAAAATCTATTTTAAAGACATTTTATCCTCTCAGCAAAGGTCTACATACTGGTGGCACCAGAGGGAAGCAACATGTCTTGTTAATTGTAGTAAACATTTTCTTTTATAAGGAATCACAAAAAATGTGACCACATATACAGGAAAAGCTCACATTTATGAACTATTAATTCAATAGAAGCCCCTGGTAACATGTTTGATCTCAGAGGTTTTTTCATTTGCTTTTGTTTTGGTTTTTTGAGACAGGCTCTCACTATGTAGTTCAAGCTGGCCTTGAACTCATTATGTAGTCCAGGCTGGCTTCAATTTCATGGTAATCCCCTTGTCTTTGCCTCCAGAGTGCTGGACTTATAAGCATGAGACACCATGCCAGGCAGATCCCGGAAGCTTTAAGTATATATATTTCCTGTATAAAACATCAGTTGAGGTCTTTGCTATGAGCTAAATTTTTTTGTTTGTTTGTTTTTGTTTGTTTTTTTGAGACAGGGTCACTATGTAGCCCAGGCTGGTCTTGAACTCACAGTGATCCTCCTGCCTCAGCCTCCCGAGTGCTGGGATTACAGGCGTTCACCACCACACCTGGCCTATGAGCTAAATTTTTAAAAATTATTATTTGATGGAAAGAAGGAACAAAGTCCGTATATCATCACTTTTACTCCTTGACCTGCAGGTATAGACAGTTTGTGAAATGAGTGACTCAGAAGATGATGCAACCGAACTTTCTGCCTACACTTTAGCAGCTCTCCAGGAGTTTTTTGCTGAGCAGAAGCAATGCACAGACTCAACTGGGGATGATAAATATAATGTTGGAATAATAGAAGAAAACTGGGTAAGTAAATGTGTTCTTGTCCATCAGGAAGTAGTGAAAAACCTGTTCTGTGCCAGGGCCTGTGTTTGTGTGTGGCCTCCCCTACTACCAAAGTCTCTGGCATCCGCCATTTGGGAGCTGGTAACTTCATGAGGCCAAGGACAGAAATTTCACTTCTTTACATATTTTTAACTTCAACCTTGATACTTCTGTAGGTAATACGTATCAGAAAATTGAAGTACTACATTATTCTTGAAGTGATCTTTTTTTTTCTTCTGTTCAGTTTTTTTTAGTACAGTATACTCTTTTCTGACTCTAATACTAACCTATGGTTATTGTAAACCATACATAAAAGTATGAAGAAGGAATAAAAATGAGTCCTAATCCCACTAGTACAGGTAGCACAATGGGGGCTAGGAGATCACTCAGCCTCCACCCACTTGAGTTTGGGCAACACTTCAGGGCCAATCCTTCTGTTGTCCTTGGAGAGGTAGAAAATAAAATAACAAGAACCAAGAAATCTCTGAGGCTCTAGGCCAGAGCATATGTGTGTTCAAACTTACGGTCTGATCTTTAGTAACCTTTTCCCTACTCAAACCTTATTAATGGTTCATAAATATGGACTGCATCTCATGCATATAATTTAATCAGAGTGAACTCTGGGACATGCATCCTCATTGAAAGCCCTTGAGATGACTCCACACTGTCATTCCTGTCCGTCTTACCTAGATACCCAATGGAAAGCCCTGGACTAGGACGTGCTTCCTTTAAAATCTGAAGGCCTGATTTATCTGTTCTCTGCTCTGCTTTTTGCTTTCCTGTCATCCTGGCACTGCTTTTTTTCTTCATGCCACACTATTGTCAGCATAGATCTTTGAGCACATCTTCCCATAATCTTCAATAAATGTAGTTGCTTTTCTTTCTTTTTTTTTCAATGTGTAGTTGCTTTTCTTTTACCAGCAGATGTACATTTGCAATTATTTCTTTGTTGTACACAAGAGCCTAGAATCTATCTACTAAATTCATCCCATGGTACCACCACTACTTACTTTTCTAATTTTGACGTTTTCATTTAGTATAGTTTATTGATAAAATTGAGGAAATCTGCCAGGAACTAGAAAAAAAATTCTAGTGCTGAAGTACAGTAAAGAATATATTAGAAAACTAGTGGATAAATCCAAAAGTTCATTATTCAACCAAAAGGAGTTCAAGAAAAATAAAACAAAAAAACAGAGAGGAAATCTTCAAAGAATAATATTAGAAAGTTTCTATATTGATGACTCTCACTAAGATACATAATTGTGATGATTATGAAAATTCTGGATATGGTGATAAGATCCTAGAACCTTTCAGGGGAAAAGCAGGTTCCCTACAAAGTCTCAGGGCTAGAGTCACATTGCACTTGTCAGTAGCTTTATAAAAACTAGAAATCTGAAAATGCTTTTAGATTTGGAGTAAACTTTTATTCAATCTAAAATTCCATACTTAGCTGAACTATCATTTGTGTGAGGACAAGAAAACCTTTTGGGTATGGCAGACCTCATATTCTTCATGTACAGTTCTCAGGAGTTGCAGGATAATTTGCTGCCATCAATAAGAAGTAAGTTGTACCAGTCAGTGTTTTCTAGAGAAACAGGTTTACTGCAAGATATACAAATATATAAGAATTTACAAGATTGGCATATACTGACTGTCTGCAGAGTCAGGTATGGAAGAGTGCAGAAGGGCTAGCTGCACACTGAAGATCCAAAGGATCCAGTCAAAGGCTTGGAGCTCAGGGGAGTGTCCCATGCACGTCTGTATCAGGAGGCTGAAGGGTCTGTGCTGGAGGGTGAACAGGTTGCCCTGGAAGCCAGGGGGCAATATCCAAGGTGAGAGTGAAGACTGGAGCTCCTTGGAAGAAACAGAAGCAAGACTTCTTTCTTGTTTCCCTTTTATACCATTCTGGCAACAATCTTCCCTAAGGTAGGTCTTCCATAACATGCTGATCCAGATTAGTTGGGTGTTTCTTACTCAAGTTGATGCATCAGTTAACCATCACATAAACCAAAAAAGGAAGACGTGAGCTCCAGGGAATAGGAGATCTGACACATGGGTAAGAGGAGAGTCCCAGGATAATAGTGACTCAGGAAATCCTGGTACAATAGGTGTGGGGAACTCCTGAGAGTGAGTGCTCCAGATCATTTTTATAGGAGGATGCCATGTTCCAGGATAGCGATCTGCAGGGAGAAAATTTAAAATGACAGAATGTCTGATAGGAAGAGGAGTTATGTATAGAGCTCATGCAAATCAAGTGATACATTTATTAATTTTAGGGAAAAAAAATCCTACTAGAAGAAATGCATAGAACATTACCTGATGATTGGTTATAATTGGGTTATAACTTGGGTTACAACTATAAAAATTGGGTTACAACTATATTGAGAGTAGAAAGGGGAAAGGTGTATGAAAACAAAATTCCATCTTCACAACAAATATATAGTATATAAAGTGGATTAATCAATAGGTGGCATTTAAACACAATATTTAAAGATGGGCAAGCCAATCAAAGGAAGAGGCAAGGGTTGGAAGTGGTTCTTGAGGACTTGGACTTAGGGGTGAAGAACTTGGGGTGGGAGGCTTCATTTTCAAAGCTCAATAGTCCTTTTGGCTTTTAAAGTTAGGTTCATGTAGTACATTGAGAACAGCTGATATTTTTATTTTGTTGAGTGCTGTGAGAAGAGCCAAATACAATCTTTGTCCCCTAGTGAGTGAGGGGGAAGGGCAATCAGCATAAAACTGGTACTGCTTATGAAGTGTGTGAGCAGATATGGCCTGCTGCCTCCCAGGTCCAGTGAAGCCAAAGCTCCTATACCCTGTGTATGCCAGGGACTTTCCTCCAGCTGTCCTTCCTAAGCACAGAGGGCATGCTCTGAGCTCAGCCTGTTTCCTGTAGCTAAGAATGGATAGACATAGATGTATAAATGCAAGCGTGAATTCATACATGTATACTAATGTGTGTGTATATTGTCTTTGGGAACACTTTAAAACTTGTTTTTTTGTTTTTGTTTTTTGGGGGTTTTTTGGAACCAGGGATCGAACTTGGGACTTCACACTTGCAAGGCAGGCAGCAGCACCACTGAGCTAAATCTCCAGCCCAAAACCTTGTTTTTATAAGTAAATTCAGGGAATACTATGTGCATATCCAGATGGGAAGTAATGTGGAGCAGTCATATTTTTCCTTGTAGGCAGCAACTATTATTGATTTAAAGATTCATATACATTTTCAGTGCCATTTGTCATTTTGAATAACACCTCATCCTAACTGTTGTAGTCATTTTGAATGCGGTCTAGTTCTGAGTAACTTGGAGCCATTAATATTTGCAAGAGCTTCCAGATAAACATTTTAAAAGGTCAAGGATAGTGCAACAATAAATAAAGCAAACTATTCTCAGACAGAAGTGATGACTGTTGTGATATGTGCTCTGGGAACGAAATGCAAGGACACCAGATCAGACAGGAGGGAGATGCTGCCCAAAGCAACAGGTGGGAATCAGGGGCTGCAGCATCCTAGATTAAAAAAAAACTTGAACCCTCCCTAACAACACATAAAATTAAAGTCTACATGGATTAAAAATAAAAATATTAAAAGAAGATGCATTTTTATCTAAACAAGGAAATTGATCACATTTGCAACATAAAATTAGAAATTTATCAATAACAGAAGATTCCTTAAATAAGGTTAAGAGAAAAAGACAAAGGAGGTAATACCAATATTGTACAGGAAAACAAAAGATTAACAACCCAATGTCTCTGCCCACCAGCCTAGCATCCCAGGAAGCCTGTGGTAGGCACATGCAGTAAGGTCTGTTACTTCTGAGACAGACTGTATCATGGGCAGCTGTGGGTCATTTCAGCAGAGGGGCTTAAGAGAATATTGTTTTGTGATATAGGCTGTGCTTAGTCTTGGGGAGTTGGTCAGAAAGCAAGCAGTCCTGTAAGTAGGTGTCTTGAATATCATCTAGGAGGGGAAGGAGTCAGTTGGGGCTAAAGCTATAATTTGTGGAGCATAAGCAGGCTCTCATGTGAGCTGATGAGGGGGATGCTTAGTCGATGTTAGCAGTCACTAATACTCAGTGCCTAGATTTCATTAACTCATTAGGGCTGTATTACTTTAAACTAATTTGATATAAAAGTTAATTTTCAAAAGCAAAAAAGCATACACACTGGTATAGTAGGTATAATAAATCAAAAGGGTAAAGTTTACTTCAGTTCTAAGCTGGTATCACCATATATCTCTGTTACAGCAGTTGAGCCAGTTTTGGTACAGTCGGGAAACAGCCTTTCGACTTGCACAGGAAGCAGTCACTGCTGCAGGGGACAATGGCAGGTGAGAATCAGGTTTTGTTTTCTAACATGAATGAATTTGACGGTGCCACATCTCACACATGGCAAAAAACCCAGTCGTTGAGCTTACAGGGATCTATAATGTTGTGTCTTAGCTACTTTCTTGTTGCTAGGATAAAATACCTGACACCCACAAGTTAAAGGAGGAAAGGTTTATTTTAGCTCAGTTTGTAGAGGTTTCAGTCCATAGTTGGCTGACTTTCTTGAGTCAGTTGAGTCAATCACCACCTACCTGTCTGCCTTTCAGCTTCCTGGTTTCTTTGTGCTCTTTGTAGTCTTCTCTTAATCCCTTCCCTCTTAGAGTCTATGCCCAAACGATAAAACAAAACACAATTTTACTTAGTGGGCTTTCATGAGGAAGCAAATTTAATAAATGTGTTCAACCTACCCTCTTTAACTGGAGGCCTTAAGTGTTCCTTTTTTCTCTTCTATTTTGTTGCTGTTTATTAGGTTTTTCTTAGTGTGGGTTAGCTTTTTGTTACTGTAACAAATACACGAGATGTCATTTTATAGGGAGAAGAGGTGTGTTTGTTTGTTGTTTTTTTTTGCTATGGTTTTGGAGGGTTCAGTCCATAATCAGTTGGCCTCAGTGCCTCAGACTTATGGTGAGGCAGTATATCTTGGTAAGGATTATGTGGAGGAAGCTGCTTGCCTGGATGCCAATTTCCCTTCAAGGGCACACTGACCTAATTTCCCTCTACTAGGCTTCATCTTCTGAAGGTACCACGCATGAGCTAGGGACCAAGCCTTCACCACGTGGGCCTCTGGGGGCATTCATTGTCCACACTATAGCACATAGTGACTGTTTTTTACTGATAGTTGCTGTTTTTCATTAATATGAGGACCCTGGAAGCAACTTTTATTTTTTTCTGAAAGGTGACTTCAGTATCTGTCAAGACCATATCATACTTCTAAAGATGAATGACAGTAGGTAGCATTTATTCACTTACTATATGCCCTTTGCCTTAGGTGCTTTAGCAGTCCCATTTATGCTCACATCTCTATGAAGTAGTTACTTTTATACTCTCCATTTTATCAATTTTTTTTTGAGACAGGGTCTCCCTATGTATCCCGGGCTGGTCTTGAGCTTGAACTCATGGCAGTCCTCCTGCCTCAGCCTCCCATATGCTGGGATTACAAGTTTGCATCACCATGCCTGGTTTGTGCCCTCCAATTTAAAGACAGGTCCTGTGCTTGGAGAGATTCAATCATTTGCAGAGGTCACTCAGAGGGAACCTATACTACCTCAGCTGACTTCTTCAACCTTTCTGCTTTTGTTCCTTCTTTCCTATGGAGCAACTGCCCTGCCTGAAGGGCATCCTGGGGATGACTTGCTGCAGATAAGCTTTCAGATTTTGTTTGTCCGGAATCTTTATTTCTCCTTTCTTCTCAGAAGAGATTTCCATTTGGTGTGTGCGTGGTCCTCGATTGTTGCTTATTTCTTTCAGTGTGGTGACTTTACAATCCCACTGTCCTTTGCTGCCTTCCTCCCAACCCCAGCAGATGTGTGGGGAGTGTCTCGTCCCTGACAGCTGGGACTAAGACACACCTTTTTTCTCCAGAAGCATTCTGTGGCCTCAGCAGGCTCTCTTATCCCCTGCAAGAGTGTCTGGGCTAAGAAGCTTCATCAGCCCAACATGGGCATCTAACTGGAATGGATGCCACTGTGTCTCTTTAGAAATACATTTTTAAAGCTGAGTTTCATTTTAGAATTAAGTCCTGTTTTGATTGACAATGTATACGTATAGTAAAGATCCAAAAGTTACAATGGGAATTGAAAGAAACCATCAGTCTCTGATTCCCAGTGTCTTCAGGTCTGCCTGGCCCACTCCACAAGGTAGCCATGGCCCTTGGCTCATGAGCACCTCCAGAGGTCCCCTTTGAATCACATCTGTGAAAGCACACTTAATATTCCTCTGTCCTTTGAGTAGATCTTGAAGATCATCTCTTATCAGTATATATAGGGCTGCCTCAGTCCTTTTAAAGTATCTACAAAACACTTTATTAAAATAGATGTACCACAGTCAACACACTTTAGGTTATTTCTAGGTTTTTTTGCAGCTGAGTTTAAAAGTTAGCTCTTAGATACTATCCATTCATAAACTGTGAACCATCTGTAATAAAATAATTATTTGGGTTAGGGGTATAGCTCACTGGTAGGTGCTTACCTAGCACACACAAGACTTTGTTTGGGCTCAGCCCCCAACAACTCCACACCTTCCAAAAAAAAAAAAAATAGATTCTTTAGTTTCCTTACAAAAACAACTGCAGACATTCAAAGTAGCTTTTTTCAAAGTAGAGACCTTGTTTAATGTAACTTTTTGGAAAACAAGTTATTTAGGGAGTTATTTGGATTTTTTTCTTTCAAGATAATGAATATTACAAAATGACTTCAAAATACTTAGTTTGGACCAGAAGTATTTGAAATAAATATTGAAGACTCAACATGAAAATAATAGGTGAATTAAGCTTTGAGTTAACTACATATAACTTTAATATATTCCTGGTGTTTCTTACATTTTCTTTTTCCTGTAAAAAGCATATTTATTATTTCATACCTCAAAATTTTGAGTTACAGATTTTTAAATACCAAATTTCTTAAGAGTGAGACTGTAATAAAGCTTTTATCTCAAATTTACTAATCATTAGCTTGCACTATTGTTTCCTTTAAGAAAATGTGAACATAGGGCCTATTATATTTTGTTGAAGTTGTTACTTCGCACTAAGATCTGTCACAACCTGGTTCATTTTGTGTTCTAGAATAGCATGTGTGAGTGCCCCCAGTGTTTACCAGGCCCTTAGAGAGCTGCACAGAGACGACATCTTTGTGTCCATCTTTGAATATGACAGAAGATTCGCCATGTACGGAGAGGAATTTGTCTTCTATGATTACAATAATCCACTGGATTTGCCTGACAAAATCACAGCACATAGTTTTGACATTGTAATAGCAGATCCTCCTTATCTTTCTGAGGAATGTCTCAGAAAGACTTCAGAAACCATCAAGTACCTGACCAGGGGTAAAATTCTTTTGTGCACAGGTAGGTGCCACATTTCTCGTCTCAGGATGAGATGTTCAAGTCTTTGGTTTTAAGAGCTAGAAGAGATCTCAGAACTCTAATCCTGAATCCATTACATACTGTGTGACCTTATGCAAGTTATTTAATCTTTCTGTGCCTTCTAAGGGTGGTAGTGTTACTGTGACATGAACAGATTTAGTCTAGGCTATTGGGTATGACGAGAGAATTGCCAAGTGTACACCCAGTAACAAGTTGCAAGCAGCTACATTTATTGAAGATCACAGGAAGTTGTGCTTAGGGAAAGTCCATACAGACAAAAGTTATGGCACAAACAGAAAAAGATGCCGGGGTGACAGAAAGGTAAAAACACCGCACATGAATCATAGCACACAGAAACAGAAACAGCAACAGTTCATGGCTAAATCACGTTTTCAAAATTTATGCACCTCAGCCCAGGTGCCTCCTCCTGAATCTCTAAGTATGATTGACAGGCTCCTGTGGCATCTCCAAGGCTCTCAATACACATGCTGATCCCAGAATTCACTCGAATCTGAATTAATATATGACGTACAGTACATAAGTATGAACCCATTTACATCGAAGATTGCAATTTTTAAATTTTTTGCATGAAATTTGTATATATTACCTAGAAAAATTCAAGGAACAAGAATTTGAAGAGATAAAAACTTTGTTATTTTCCATTGTTATGGGTACCCCTAAAATGGAACACTAAGCATAAAAGGATTAATGAGGTGGGAGTAGGGGAAGGTGACTGAAGCCAGGCTAGATCTAATATGCATGTGCTCTCACACAGAGGATGGAGATCTGCTGGGTTTTTACTATTTTATTTTCTACCACTCTGAACAATGGAAGAAATGGCCATAGGGTGCTGTTTAGAATTAAATGGATGCAAGGGAGTGATTTCCTCAGCTCCATCGTTTCCAACTGTACTAGTACTGAATCAAGTGATAACATACTCAGAGTGCTTAACACAGTGCCTGGTGCATATGTTAATCATGATTTTTATTGCAGCAGTAGCAGCATTGGTAGCAGCAGTATTAGATACCAGCTGTCCAAGTGATAAGAGGGAAATGGAACCTGTATGATTAAAATAAATTGCCTACAGAGCTACCTTAGGTTTATTAAACTAGAATAATTTTGTTACTGGTATGACTGATATACTTTGTTAAAGTGGATGTATTAAAAGTTTAAGAACTAAAAATGCTATTCTCTGTTCATACAAATGTGATTTATTAAGGTTTATTCATTCAACTTCGGTTTAGTGCCTCCCCAACAATAGTCAGGTGATCCAACCTTTTAGTTTTAGGGGTTAAGTGTTTAAAAAAATAAAAGATCAAAGAATTAAATCACTAATTGTAGTGTCATGAAAGAGAGAGATGGTGCTGCTTTCAAGAATCTCCTGTGCTCAAGGGAAGATCTGAATCTGGGTTCAGGGAGATCCCTGGGGGTTCTGGGGTCCAGGTGAGAGCAGCCAGGGAGCAGCAGAGCTGGTGGGGCAGTGTTCCCTGCCTAGCCTGTGCAGGCTGGGGGGTGGGGGCTTTACATTGCACAGGGCCCAGTGTTTCTAGAGAAGTTCTCTTGGGCTTTGTACCGAAGGATTTGCTCCAGAGAAAGTAGCCATGGGCACCATGTGGGGCTGCCACAGTGTCCAGCTGGGAGCAACAATAAGCCAGGCTAGGTCTTGCAATACGAGTGGTTTAAAGATCAATTTTGGAGATAAAATCAGGAGAGCTAGCCAGGTACTGTAAACTCAGCACTCAAGAGGCTGAGGCAGGAGGATGGCAAGCTCAAAGCCAGCCTAGGCTACATAGAGACTCTCAAAAATCGAAACAAAGACCGGAGATTTAGCTGAGTGGTTTCACCACCAGCCTTGCAATGCAAGGCCCCAAATTCCGTCTCCGGTACCAAAACAATAACAACAAAAGGTGAGCTCACTGTGTTCTGAATGTGGAAGTGAAGAAAGTACAAACTTCGGGGTGCCCCAGGTTTCTGGCCTGTGCTTCCTGTAGTGTGGATATTGGAGCTGGTGGTACAAGGCAGGGGCTGGGAGGGAAATGGAAGGAGGGGACAAAGAAGCAGTGCCAGTGTGTTCAGCCATACACTTAACAAGGTTAGGTATTACCAGAAAAGATTCTTGGCTCAACATGGGGAATCCTGGTTTTTAATAATTATTTTTACTTCCTTGTGTTCCTTTTTGGAATATAATCTTCTAAATCACTAAGTGTCCCAACTTTGGAAAATTATTTATTAACTTAAAAAATACAAATAAAATATAATTATTAGCTAAAAAAGAATTAGCTAAGATTGGGGGGGGGCAGAAGGGAACAGAAAGAACCCCACCCCAGTGTGTCGAGTGGTACCATTGCTGCTGCAATCTTGCCCACACTTTAGGATGGGCCTGTCTGGGCTCTGGGCTCACTGCATCTGTTCTCCTCAGGTGCTGTCATGGAGGCGCCAGCAGCACAGCTCCTAGGAGTGAAGATGTGCGCGTTTATCCCAAAACACACCCGAAACTTGGCAAATGAATTTCGCTGTTATGTGAATTATGATTCTGGGCTGGATTGTGGAACCTAAATGCAGATTGTTACATAATGCAATAAAGGATGCTGGCTGACATTTCCATTTACCTCTTTTTATTTTCTTTTGATTGAAAATTTATAATCTCTTCCATCCTTCCCCAAACTGGGGCCATCTGGCTTAATTGCCAAAATCACTGGCGTAACTTCTCATTGTTTCTTTGATGAGCTTGAGATTCTTCTGTCAACCAGAATCCATGGAATTAAAGAGTTGGGGGAAATCTTAGAACCTCTCTGTTCCACTCTTCTTACTCAACATAACAGTATATGAAAAACAGAAGGAAAAACACATAGTGGCCTGCCCAGGCCTCTGGAATTAGACAGGACCTTGGCCTCATCCTTTAGCCAGAAGTTCCCTTAAAATGGGTCCTGGCACTAGCACACTAGTACTTTTGGGCCCCCCAAGTTATACTCCAGCCCATCAAGGAGACATGATTTGCCTCTAAGAAATAATAATAATTTCTTGATAATCCAAGGACTGGTGTCTAAGAGTCTTTTGGGTTTTTCTCTTTCTACTTCTGTGAGAAGGGTTAAGAATGTGGCCCCCAGATACAGGGCCGGAGATTTAGCTCAGTGGTGCTGCTGCCTGCCTCACAAGCGCAAGGTCCTGAGTTCAATCCCTGATACCAAAAAAAAGAATGTGGCCCTGGTTCCCTGTGTACCTGGCTCAGGACTAGCACCCTATCTCCAGGAAGCTTGAGAAACCACCTGTAAACCAAGCTCCATAACCAAGAAACAGAGCCGGGGAGTATGCCAAATTCTTACCTCCACACCCAGGGACAACTTAATAATCAAAAAGAGCTTGGCCATATGCAAATGGAGTGGACCTCAAGGACATCGTGTTGATTAAAACCTGATCCCCAGAGTTGGCATGCCATATGGTTCCCGTTATACAATAGTCTGGGCTGGAGAGCACATTAGTGTGGTTGGCAAGGGTCAGGAGCTGGGAAGGATGGGTTGGTGCTAGGACTGTTCTGCATCTTGTCCGTGGTGGTGGTTTCACAAAAATCTGCACATATGGTGCATTTCATAGAACTAACTGACAAATGGTTGTATGTAAAAGTAGGAACTCTAAATGACATGTGTGATGTCACCTGGCTGTAATTATATAAGTTGTTACCATCTGGGCAAAATGGGTAAAGGATACACAAGAACTCTTATGTTTTTGTAATTTCTTGGAAATCTAGAATCATTTTTTAAAATATTGACACCCTCTCTCTGGGAATGAAATATTCTTCCCCACCTTTATGACTTGCTTTGGCCAAAAGAATGTGAAAGGAAGTGGCATATTTACTTCTGGTCACTCCTGTTTCCCTCTGACACAGCAGCCAGCAATATTTCAGACAGAAGCTGTTGAGGCTATCTAGTCCTCATGTGGCAGGGACATGACGGCCTCACTAGGGGGAGAGAGAAATGAGCATTGGCTGTTGAGCATCAGAGATGTGGGCTCATCACTCACTGGAGCAAAGACCATCTGAGAGGAGGGCCAGACACAGGGAAGCCTGTTTCCAGGTCCAGGGAGACCTGCTTTTTCATGTTATTTCTTGGACCTCACCTGCCATGCTTCTAGAAAACTTTTAATTTAATCGCTCTATATTTTTAAAAGACATTGATATTTTTATTAGTGTACTACACCTGACACATGTTAAATGTTCACTAAAAGTTCTTTTAAACATAACCTTGACATTATTTCCTTATGAATCAGTTGTACTAAAAATTACTGAGACCAATAACAAATTTGAGACAGATTATTAAAAGAAATGAAATGTTCAGCTTAAACATTGTGAATGAAAAGCAACCTAGGAATCACAGGATGTTAGGTGTCCTGGAAACCCATCATTTAGTCAAAGAGGAAAGTTTATTTCTTCTCCAGGGGAGAGGGAAGGTAAGGGCCAAGTAGCTCATCAGAAGTGTACGCAAGTCTAGTCAGAAGGGTTACTATGTGAAGTAATGGCATTTTTGTTCAATAAGCAGCCATTCAAGTTTCGTGGCTTTGTGATTTTGATTATAGCAAACCTATGTTCATATATGATCTTACTTCTGAATTTCATAAAAGATCTGGAGCTCAAGGTCTGCAGCCTTTTAAAAATGCTCTAGGCCTGGTGTATTCTTTGGGGTCTGGAGGAAGTCAGGGGAAGCCCTGGCTGGAGCCAAAGCTGTGCCATTGCTGCAGGCCTCCCAGTCCTGTACTCAGACGTGGATGGATCCTCGTGTACTTTCAGGGCAGACTAACCATCTCTTGAGTGGGGAGGAAAAGCATGGTTCCAGTTTTGCTAACACAATCAAATCATTTCTCTGTAATTCCTCAGTTGTGGTGAAGAGATGCCTGAACAGCTAGAGCAACTGGCATGCACAGGGAATTTAAGAACCCATTTCAGATGGCGGTTCCACATTCTTTCTCCTACTATTCCTCTTTAAAATCTGCATAGCCAGTTACCAAAAATGACCATTTTCTTCCCCATTGGTCCTGCTGAAGAGATGCAGAAAAACAAAAAGTTTGGGGTCTTGGTCTGTGTATGTGGGATTGGCATTTGCAAATTTTTTGCTCTGTTTTTTGATACTGGGGATTGAAGCCAGGGCCTCTGCACTGAGCTACATCCCCAGCCCTCTTTATTTTTTTATTTTGAGAGAGTCATACTGAATTGCCCTTGGTGATCCATCCTCCTGCCTCAGAATACAGAATACAGAGATTACAGGCATGTGCCAGATCGTTTTGTTTGGAGACAGGATCTACTTGTTTCCCAGGAGATCTCAAACTCAATAGCCAGGATCACAGGTGTGTACCACTGTTTCTAGTGTAGAATATTTTTTGACTGCTAGTTCCAAATGATTTTGTTTTTATAAAACAAACATACAATAAATATACAGTAATCAGAAACCCAGTGAATGCCTGAAACCTGGAATGGTATTCAACCTTGTATGTAGTATTTTTTTATATACCTGCATACTTATGATAAAACCTGTATACTTATGAAGTAGACACAGTAAGAGATTGATAATAACTAAAAATAGAACATAATTACTGGTATAGTAATATACTGTAAGAAGTTCACTAATACATTAGGGGCCTTTTTTCTTTAAAAATATGAGCACGGTAGTTGGGCATGGTGGCCCACACCTGTAATCCCAACACTTAGGAGGCTGAGGCAGGACAGTAGCTGCAGGTTCACAACCATCCTGGCTTACATAATGAGTTCAAGACCAGCCTGCACTATGCAGTGAAATGTCTCAAAAAGACAAAATTATCTATCTACCTACCATCTGTCTGTCTATTATCTATCATCTGTCTTTCTCAGGGTCTCACTGTATTGCCCAGGATGGCCTCAAACTCCTGGGCTCAACTGTTATTCCCACCTCAGCCTTGGGAGTAGTAATGGGGACCAAAAGCATGTGCCACTACACAAAGCTTCAGGGCCATATTAAGGAAAATAAAGGTTACTTGAACATAATCATTACAACACATGGCAATTGATCCAATCACCAAGATACACAGGGTGGTAGCATAGACAACATGGACAAAGGAATGATTCTGCAGGATGTAGTGGGACAGTGTATGATTTTACCACAGCACACAGAGAGGTACAAAACTTGAAACCTATGAAGTACTTCTGGAATTTGTCCATGGGTAACTAAAACCAAGAGTATAGGACTACTGTAATGTCAGTGGACTGGAAAAGATCAGTAACCAGCAAAGTACCTTTATTCCAAGGGATGACACTCAATCTTCAAGGTAAAATTTATTAAAGGAAGCATGCACTGTGGCACTTTTAGAAGGAAGGGAGAGGCTATTAAAAGTCCAGTACCAAGCATGCATCCCAGCAAGGCCTAAGAATGGGAAGTGCCCAAACAAATGTGGCCGTGTGGACTGCAAGGTAGAAGAGAGAAGGGGGAAGGATGTCACTGAACCTGGGCAGGCCTAATTTCTATGGGCAGGAAATTTCCCTCTTTAGATGATAAAACCTAATACCTAGCTTCTTCACCAAAGCAAAAAAAACATCGGTTTTAACAAAAGAACAAAATCCTGTCCTTAACTCTTTGAAACAGCGTGATTCCATACTCAGTCACCACCTCTATATCAACTTGTTATTATCTAATTGCTGTTGCCGGGGTGAAAGTTTTGCAGATTTTATTTTAAAGTATATTTTATAAAAAAGAAAGGATAGTCCATTCAAAGTGAAAAATATTTCCTCAACAATAGATAAACATGAAGAAGGATTAGCTTGAATGATTGGGGCTACTGTGCTTTAATGTTTACTTAGGGCCAGACACTGTCCTGAATGGGTGCTTTTCCAACAGTGTTTAATCCTCACAATCATTACAGCAGCTCAGAAAGGAAAAGAGACACAGGTGAGCACCTCTCACATGCGAGAAGCTGGCATATAGAAAACAGGCTACTCTGGCAGCTCCTGTGTTTAGTTAAGAGGTTGCAACCAGGGGTGGTGGTACACACCTATATTCCCAGCACTCTAGGAGGCTGAGGCAGGAAGATTACAAGTTCAACACTGGCCTGGGAAATTTAACAATTTAGCAAGACCCTATCTCAAAAAAGAAAAGGATGGGGATGTAGCTCAGTCCAAAGGCCCTGGATTCAATTCCCACTTCTACCCCCTAAAAAAGCAAAGGAAGATTGTGTCTTGACCACAGCTGTCTCCCAGGAGCTGTGTGTCTGGAACCATGCAATTGCTTGCTGGATATTTTTTTAGTTAGCTCTTTGTTGCTACAACAAAATGCCTCAGATAATTAATACAAGAGAAAGGTTTACTTTGGCTTACAGTTCTGAAAGTGCCAGTCCTAGTCGATCAGACTTGTCTGGGCCTCTTGCGGGAATGCCAAGTGGCAACAGAAATGAGCATACAGCAAAGCAAAACTTCTACACCATGAGCCAGGGAGCAAAAGAAAAAAGAAGGAGCCAGGGTCCCACATTCCTCTTTAATGATGCAGCTTTGGTGACTTAAAGATCCCACTCTGAGTGGGCTCCTCCTAAAGGTCACACATGGGCCTTCGGGGGACATTCGACATCCACACTGAAGTCTGGCAGTGTGGTTCAGTGGTAGAACACTTGCCTAGCATGATTAGAGCCCTAGATTCAAGCCAAGAGTAGGAATGTAACAAATCAAGCAAGCAAGAGTTGAACAAGTAAACAACTCAAACTAGAGCAAATCATACTACATGGATGAATATTCCTTTCAGAGAAAAAGCATAAAGATTGCCTTTGTAGCTATTAGAATTGGAAGCTAGTTTCTTCCCTTGGAAATGTGCTACCTTTTAACAAGCTGAATTCAGGTAATACAATGAGTAAAATAGTGACATTTTCCCCTTGCAAATAGTTTACTCTCCTAATCCCTGCCTCCTGTGACATACTATTATGTTTAAGGAGCAGCCTGGGAAGTGTTGCAGCAGCAGCAGCAGCAGCAGCAGTGAAACAACTATTCAAATCGCTGGTTCAAAATCACAGTTTTTAATCTATGAATTTTTGTTGTTATTAGCCTTCTGTTTTCTGGACAGGAATATATTCTAGGTGTTCCACTACCTGGAATACCACACACACACACACACACACACACACACACGTCTAGACAAGAAATAGAACAATCTAGAGTGTCACTTTAAGTTTGAATTTATTTTGTCAATCTGGCCTTTGTGTAGTGATAGGTTTTACATGAACAACAACTGTCAACACTTAGTAGGACATGGACGTTCTCTGAGTAATTCTTGTCCTGATCAAACTCAAGCTGTCAGTAACTAGGGGCATTTATACTACATTATTTCTGTGGTAAATGAAGCTTAGAGGTAAAATAAATATAAAGAAAGGACATTCCTTGGTTTGCTTGGTGGTGTCAAAAGGATTAAAAAGATTGACTTTACATGACTAGTTGATCTTGACAAGACCAGATCAAATCCTGATTAATTTAAACCTCAAACACAAAATTAAAGATCTCTAAATACTGTTTCTCCTAAAAATCAATTGGGGATTGGGGGCATAGCTCAGTGGTCAGGTGTCTGCTTAGAATGCAGAGAGTCCTGGATTTGATCTCTCATACCAAAAAAAAACAAAAAAATCAAAACCCATCTAAGCTGAATTCAGAGAGAAGTAAAATGCATAGTGCCAATATGTCTTTCATCTACAATTGTTTTAGTGATGTAAAAGTAGCATCTTTTAGAAATAACTATGTTCAGGGACAGACTTTCAACCTGAAGAAGAGCCCAAACTGTACTACAGAGAAAGCCTCAATGTTGATCTATGGAAATTCTGACTTGGCCTTGGCCTGCTTTTTTCCTCATATTTGGCCTGATCTGAGAGCCCTTACAACTAAGTTAATATTTGCTTGGATTCTTCCTGAGAGTTTGCAAAGATGTTATGTTCCACCTCTTGCCCACAAATTGACCCCAGTGGCTTTCAAAAGTGAAAACACTCAATTCAAATTGTCTTACATCTGAGATGATTTATGTATTCATGAGTATTGTTTGGCCCCCAGAACCCCTTGTGCCCACCTAACACCTGTGAACACCTTGGTAGAATGAAGTTAGTGTCCACTTTGCCTTGGCCGGCCAGCCATCCATAACAGGCCAAGTTCAGAGATAGAGCCACAGTGCCCCCTAAAAAAAGAGTTCATCTGAGAATTCCAGCTGTGCATCTAAAAATACTCTCAGAACAAAACTGTATGTTTCTAATTGCTTATATATCAAGTAAAAAAATTTTTTTAAATATTTGCTCTAAATTGCTAATATAAAAATAGTTTCTGCCTCTATACAAAACAGTTGAATAAAGACATAGGTAAAAGTGACCCTAGGGTCACACCTCTGCAGCAGCTAAGGCCACAGCCATGTGTTTTTCCAAAGTCGGTTTGCCCCGCCCAGTGCCACACACCACACCCCGTGCCTGGGTCACTACCCATCAGTGGGCTGCCTATGCTCACTTTTGCCTACAAGAAAATTTGGAGCTACCCAGGTTGGATGAACATGGTGATTACGTTAGACCGGAAGTCTGCTCCACAGAACTGGGCTTGCCCTCCTAGTTCCTGGGGGTAGGACCAGCCCCAGAAGCAGCCTGCAGGGAGGCACCTCCAGCAGGTGTTGGGGCAGCAGAAGGCCCCTCATGGGGCCCTCAGGGACTACCTGGCTCATCACTGGGGCCAAGCAGCAGCTTGGCACCCTGCTTGTCGATGCTGGAGTTGATGCTGGCTGTGTCCTTCTGCAGCTCAGGAACACAAGTGCAGCCCACCGGGACTGTGACATAGGCCTCAGTGTAGACAGAGCGGCCTCCAGCGCAGGCCGAAGTGCGGCGCAGGACCACAGTGGGCATGTATACTGGGGTGCTGCGGAAGCGGAAGTCCTCCTCTCCGAAGGGCCCAGTCAGGCAGCCCCGACATAGGCAGTAGGCTTCAGGAAGATACCTTGGAAACCTTGCTGGGTCATACGAAATCCTGTGGAAGAGAGTGGGTTTAGTGCATGCACACATCTTATGCCAAGAAAGGAAGCTTCTTGAAGGATTTTCTTCTGAGACCAGGAAAGTGGAGCTGGAGCAAAACATTTTGAAATCATCAAACTGGAATGGGGCAAGAGGTATGTTAGTGTCCATCTGAGGCCCTGACCTCAAAGACACTGGGGAACTTGTACTTTTGTTGTATCTTAAATGCAGAAGACAGCATTTACAGATATTCTTGATAAAGACCATATAACCTCTGAGTCTGCACTAACGTAAGGAGAAAAACACACATGCTGTCAGGCTGCCGCAGTAGCCTCCAGAATAAGCCCTCTGGAATTGCCCCCATCCAACCTGCCAGGGGCTCTGGAGTTTCAGGATGGGTACCAAGGACAGGCGAAGCAGCTGGCTTGGGTGCGGTAAGGCACCTGATTGCTGATGTATGGTCACAAGCAATGACAAGTGCAAGAAATCTATATGGAAGGCCCCATGGTAGCCATACCTATTATCTAGTGTTGGGGTTCACATGTTGAGACTTTTCTTGTTGCTGAGACAAAAATATCCAATACCCCAAGTTAAGGGACAAAAGGTTTATTTAGCACAGTAGAGGTTTCAGTTCATAGTCTGCTGCTGGCTCCAAGGCAGGGTGGCACAGCAGAGGGGCATCACGGAGGAGAAATAGTCTATGGCAAGCAGGCAGCTCACCCTAGGTGGGCATAGCACTCACACCCTTAATCCTAACCAGAACTATGCCAAACTTATCAGTGGATTGATTTAATAATCACAAACTCTTGATTCCAATGCCACACATTCTAGATCCAGCCACCTCTGAAAAGTGCAAATAGGAGGATACAAAGAAATGGGACCAATGCAAGTCCAAAATCCAGCAGGGCAAACATTAAATCCCACAGTTCCACTTCCAGCATCTCTGGCAATCTGTGGCAAGTTGTGAACTCCAGTGGGCTTGAGTGGCACCATCCCTACAGCACTGCCAGTGGTTGTAGCTCCCTTGCTTCTCTCTTGGACTGGCTCTGATCCCTCCTTGCAGTTTTCCTCAGGCAATCCACGTTCCTGGCTTCTAAACTTCCAGGGTCTCCACTATACTTTCTCGCCTTCATACTCGCAGCTTTACATACTGCCATCTCAGGAGCACAGTGCCTGGCCTCGAGGCCTTTCTTTGAAATCTGGGTGGAAGTCTTCACTCTTCCATACTTTTTTTTCCCCCCTCTGTGGTACTGAGGATAATTCTTCCATTCTTTATGCACCTAAAACCAGTAACATGTGGATGACATCAGAGTCTGATGCCAGTTGGAGCAACAGCAAGGCTTTCTTCTCTCTTGGCTGTAGGAGCCAAATCCAAGGAAGAAATTCACTAGGCTGCCACAATTCTGAACATGGTGCTCTGGGATTTCTTTTTAAAGAACAGTTTTTACCTTTGCAACTCTGAGGCTGCAAAGGCTGGAGTCCTGCTGGTTCTTGTGTTGTCCTCAGGCCATCTTTTGTATTATCTTCTTCTAAATTACTTGGTTTTGTCATGGTCATTTAGACTAATTTCTCCACTGTTCCATTTTTGCAGGCTGCAACTTTACTGAGGCTTCCTATTTGGCCAAACTCACAACATTTTCAGTCATTCTGCTGGGCTCTTTGCTCTTGATTCTCAACATGAGTCTGGCTAAAAGCCTCCAACAGTGGCCATGCCACCGACTGGAAATTTCTTTTGCACTATTAAGTAGTCTACTGCCCTTAATCTCAGTCTCTGGACATGAGCAAAATGCAGACAAACTTTTTGCTAAGTCATAACATATCTTCTGGAGTCCAACAGCCAATGTAGTCCTTCTTCCTAGCAGAAACCTGAGCCTGCTCTTTGCTGGCAGCATTTCTATCCATATTCTGTTCTTCTGAACTCTGACCAGAATCTCCCATCAAGTAGTTTAAAATGTTCCAACTCTATTTTTTCAGCCAGCATCTTCAAACTTCTCCTAACTTGAACTCTTCCCACAGTCCAGTTTCAAAGGCTCCTAAACCACATGGTCAGGTACAGTCACAGAAATGGCTCCAGTCATGATACCAAATTCTGTCTTAGTTATTATATATATTATACACACACTCACACACACACACACACACTTTTACTATATACACAAATATATGTATTTGCTTAGACTGGATGTGAATTTAGCAGAAGCCCCAACAAGTTAGGAAATGCTCTCAGATACCCTTTTCAGAGCAGGTCAATAGCTTGTAGTCAGTGGAATATTGCCCCCTTGTGCTAGTGGTCAGCTAATTCCAGTTGAACCCCAGCTGACAATCATTGCCAAAGATTGTTGATTCAGGGAATATCCAATCCTTAGGTGTTAACAGTGTTAGCTATTTTTGGTGTTGGGATAGATTTGTATTTGGTGCTTCATTTTCTTTTTTCTTTTTATTTTAATTTTTGTAGACTCCAAGTCTTGAACACCAAAAAAATGACTACAACAATGAAAGCAAATAAGCAAACAGATAGTGGAAGATCATTCCAGAGCCCTGGACAGTCATTTAGAGTGATGAAACACAATGGGAAAGCATTATGTATTCTATGTGGTGAAAGTGTTGTATGTCAGATATCAAGTATTTTGACACCATCCACAAAAGTGTTGCTGAACTTGGTGAAATGAAAGGAGTTTCTTAAAGGCAAATTGAGGAAATATCATTCCCAGCATCTTAGTTTTTGCAAATATCCTTTTAAATAAATCATCCGACAGCAGCCAGCTTTCAGATTTCACTGTGCTTAGTAAAACATGGTAAGCCCCTTTTTGATGGGGATTTTATCAAAATAATCATGTTGTCGGGAGTAATTGCTCTTTTTATGATTTCCCAAATAAAGATAAGATCATGCAGTACATTTCTAAGATGCCACTTAGCACATTATACTGTTAAAGATCACATCCTGTGTATAGGAAGTGATGTTAGTCCATGACTCACCACTGACTTACAAAAGGCAGGTTGTTTCTCCACATACTTAGATAAAAGCACAAATATAAATAGTCACGCAAGGCTAGAAGTTATTTTGTGTTATGTTGTTGGTGACGTCATGAGGGAAGAGCTAGTGATACTGGTGTCTTTGCCTGGAAGAACACAAGGGATGGATATCTACAATGCTGTGATGGAAACTTTCTTGTCACAAGAGTAAGGCCAGAAAAAGTGGTTTCAATTACTAGTGATAGGGCACCTTGCATGGTGGGGGTAACATCTGATTTCAAACAGTTCTTTGGGAAAGAAGCAAAACATGTAGCTTTTCAGTTTCATTGTATTATATATCAAGAAGCTCTTTGTGTCCCAGAAAGCAGAAAAAAAATTAGACAATATCTTCAAAGATGTCACAAAACTGGTGAACTACATCATGGCTTCTGTACTTCATTTTTGACAGTTCCAAGCACATTTGATGAAGTTCAGGCACAGCATAACACTTTCCTTATGTACTATAATGTCTATAGCCTTCTTGAGTGGAATTAGTCTTTATGAAGAAAAATGGGCAGGAATAGCCACAGCTCACTTATATGGCCTGGCTTAACAACTTCATTTTTTTAAAAAAACATATTTCACACTACACTTCAATGTACTTTACAAAGAACTACAAAGTATGGGGAAGGCAGTAGATAGGATGTTTTGTTATATCAAAACATTTGAGGTAAAACTTCAGGTTTTGGAAAGAGACCTCAAAGTGGACAGCTGAAATATTTTCCTCATGTAAAAATGCATTTAGAAAATTTTACATTTGCAGACAATACTATAAGCCATCAGAAAATCTGCAGGAAATTTTCTAGCATTGCAGCAGCTGCAAAAGAGAATTTTAATAACAGATTACAGTTTCATATAATGGAGATAACCCTGTGTTTTCTTACTTCTCCACATAAAGCCAGATTTGAAGAACTTTATCTTCCCTGATTATACTAGTTAGATTTTGGAAATGTGGAAATAGAGTTATTGGAATTTCTAGAAAGCTCTATGTGGAAAAATAAATTCTGTTACCTGTAAGCAACACTTGAGAAGACAGAGAACATGAGTGCGAAGGGATGACAAAGGAGAGCACAGAGGGTAGTTCTGAAAATGAAATCCTTAAAGTGTGCAATTCTCTATCAAATACTTTTAAGTCAATGAAAACATTTGGGATTGCTTTTCTTTGTTGAATCATTTTATGCTGTGAGCAGCTGTTTTCAGCTTTGAATTTATCAAATCTGATACAACAAACAGACTAAAAGATGACGTGAGTGCTCATTTGTTGCTCTCAAACTAAGGAAGTATGAGCCAATGTTTGACAAATTATCAGCATGCATATAACAGTAAAGGTCACATTATTGTGCAAAAGCTCACCAAATGCAAATTTTACCTTTCAATTAAAAAATGTTTGTATCATTGAAAGCTCTGTTACTGTGTTTTTCTTTAAAGACAAAATGTGTTAATGTAGAGTTGTTTTTTTCTAAACTAAAGCCTCGGTATTCAGATTTAATTGCAGTGCTGGCACTTTGTGATAAATAAGAGGGTTTTAGGTTGCAGCTTGGGCACTCAGTTTCTAAAACGTTCACCATCACTGGTTTCATCAGTTTCAACCCTCTGGTCAAATACTATGAACCCAGACTCCAAGGGAGCCAACTGAGCCAGGTGGTTCCTACATGTGAGTCATAACTGAAGTGAAGAGATTTGGTTGGAGCTAGGTTGACCTTGGCTGGAAGTGAACTCAGCTGACCCTTGCTTCTTTGCAGACTAGGACTTAAGTCTCAGTAGCAGTCATTAGCAAAGGAGCAATACTAGCTCAACTCTGCCATGTGGCATGCCCACTGGAGTAATGTAAAGCTTCAGTCAGACTCCTAAGATATAACAATATGGCTGAATTATGGAAAAGCAAGAAGCATGTGCCACTTATATACAGATTGCTAGTACTGGGCAGTGATGTCTACTGTACCTTTGGTCTCAATAATCAATTATATGATTGCTTTAGAAATCTATCACATCCAAACTAAGTGGCATTCTACAAAACAACTCACCACCTGAGGCAACACATGAGTTGGAGTGGGTCCTGGGGCAGAGAAGGGGCATTAGTGGGTCACTTTAAATAAGGTATGTAGATTAGATATTAATATTCATTTCCTAATTTTGATCAATTTGCTGGCTTACATTTCAGAACGTCTGGGTACAGGGTAGCATGTGGGAGTTCCTTGTCTCAATTTCATAACAGTTTGCCTCAAAGAGTCAAATACCAAACAACAAATAAAGAGAAAATATTTTCCAAA